TCACGTATACGTGCATCGTTTCTACTATCGAGCTCGCTCGAATGTTTCGAGTAATTCGAACAGTACGTTATTATAACATAGATAGTACCAGTTTTCCGTACACAACGAGGCGTAACGATACGCCACCATCACTACAAATATTTACCGACGAGTATCGAGGTAACAAAGAGATTTGCACAAGGACGCGTGTTTGAATTACTAATCGTCGGTCGACGAGCGCGTGTCAACAACCATCAATTGGAAACATTTCTCATACGTTCAACGTTTAATATTCAGATTTTATCCGTACGCTTGTGTAAACCCTGACGGAGAGATTGGTTTCGTTACCCTACTTTCGTTACTTTCCAGGACTTCCATAATTGCGGTAACAGCCCGCATAAATTCTCTTTCAATGTAAAATTCGTTGCTCGCGTTACAGTCGGAACTTTTACTCGGTTGCAGCAACAATTCGATAGACGATACGCGCAATTCTCCATGAATGATTCATGAAAATTTTGTTGAAAACACCTAGCGAACACTAATCTGTGAATTAACTCATTTAAAGTAATTTGGGATTTCCTACTTCGTCTTGACCTTTCAAAATCGTATATATTATTGATTATGTAGCATTATAGCTGTCGGAAAAACGAGTGCAACAACCTACTGTGCAGTGATCTACTTATGATCTTCAAATGTACAAATTTTATCTCCACTAATAAAATACAAATACAAGTTCTTCGTGAAATTTCAAAATAATAATGAAATATCCAAAGATCCCAGAATTAAATCCGTAAGAGATGAAACTTAAAAAAATAAATCTACGTGACTTGAGAACTGCATTCTGTCGCGCGAAAATTTCTACAACCAGTCGTGTCCTATCGATTCAGATAATGAAAATTCTTCTGTATTCTAGAGTATAATCTAAAAATGTTTGATAATAGCGCTCATAGATCAGTCTCGGCGAGCTCGAAGTGTTTAAGACGACGAATAGACGAACTTTCGCTTTGATGAAAGGTTGCGACCCAGCTCGACTTCGGCCTCGATCGATATATTATTTAATGGTATTTTAACAAGGGTCGCATTCGGACGTCTAGGCAGTCCGGGGATACGAGGCAGCAACTTTTGCACGAGTCCATAATTAACAAGTGCAGCCAGACTACCTGTATCGATGGCCGGGGCACGTGAAGGTTCCTCATACGGCAGGATCCTCTGGTTCTTAAAGGTAGTCATGATTCATTCATGAGACGGGCCTTCGATCGCATGCGCGAACAACCGAGGGAAACGAGCACAATCGTAGGCGAGTTTTGTGATCCTCGATATACCTGCTGCTGGTACCGGGGCTGCTGGTAACAATTTTTCACTCCATTCTACCGTCGAGCATCGACTTCAAGGTCGACGGAACTACGCGATATTTGCCATTCAGCCGCGTCGGGTTAATTCTATTATACTTTTGCCATTAGCTCACAATGGCGTATTGAATCGGTTTAATTATTCGATTTCTCGTAGCCGGAGCGTCCGATCTTATGAAAAACACCCGGCACAGTAATCTCCACTGTGCACGCGGTGCATTCTCTCGGCTCGCGTAGCTCGAGGCGGCCAAGCCGTTCCTTCGAAAAACGATCGTGTCGAAAGGCTGGAAAAGGAAGCACAACCTCGAGACCTTCGACGCGAAGAAGAACCAACCCACGGATATATCGACGAAAAGGTCAAGGCACTCCTGGCAATATATCGAGTCGATGTCAAGGCCGATGCTCACGCTAACGATATCGAGAGTTCCTTGATTTTTCATTAGAAAATCCACCCGTCGGATTTGGAACGAATCAACGTAAAAATTCGAGGCATCGATGAATTATAGACAAATTTAAACTAGTACATACATATATTACAGTAAAATGTCGAACATTTTTATATCAATAATCGTCGTTTTCATACAATATATATCAAGCTATTCCTTAAATTTATTGATGGCCTCTATGTAGCTTTTATGCCACTATTTATTGTTTGTAGTAATAATTAATTTCTCAGCTCGAATAAAATGTATATTTGTATAACAGGTTCTACTATGAAAGGAAAATAATATTCCTTTATTATTTTTGATAATCGACGTTCTACTGTATTTTTTAAGCGTTGTCAGTACGAGCATTTACTCGATCTCACATATTCAGTCATTAGAAAAAGAATAGTACTACATACACTAATTACATTTGACGTTTCAAGCTGATTTTCTCGGGAAACAGAGAACAATAGATGTAACCATCAATAACTTGAAACGAAACGCATGATCATTAACTTTCTTACACCTAGTGTGATCATACTACGGCGAATCAAGATGTTGTCGCGGACGTGGGACAAGTTACTCGTAGAAAAGCCAAGCAAAGATGATGCAAAACTTCCTCGATAACGTAACAAAGTTGCCATACGAAGAATATGTCCGTAATATCTGTCAGTAAAATTGGGAAACTGTTTAATTCCTCTTAATAAAAAAAACTACCCCTCCTACAAAGTATATACCCTCCTTATAAGAGACTGAAAGGACATCTAAGATGATTTGAACGACACTAGCTGTCTACAAATATTTTCTATACTCTACGAGAGGGTTAAAATAAAAAACCGACTCTCAACCCTCAAACGACAAATCATTTTGACTCAAATTTGAGTTTCATTATTTCGTACGCCCACATAAGGTTACCAATCCATTCCAATTCCATTCTTTATGCTGACGAGTTCGTGTGCTGTTATCTTTGTTGTTCGGTAAAAATTAGAACTTTTACGATTGCAAAATAAGCAATTTCCATGGGTCAAGCTGAATCTGAAGTCCGCTGGACGGGGGTTGAACATTCTGCGCGATGTTTACGCGCCCGCATGCTGTTCTCGCGCGAAACTGCTCCGTGCATTTTAACGGGTCGCGTTTCTTTTGCACAAGCAAGCCGGAGATAACGATCCTCGACGGATCCTCCGGTATTCGTGCGCTCTTGGAGCGCGATTCAACAGTCACACCGGTACCGAGAACCAGCTCGCAACGGGATATCGCGGCACGAGGTGTGCGCATCCCCGATAGTATATACTCGCCATTAACAGCACGCTAAACATTCTCAGGGAATTTTTCTCACGCACGGACCTCGACCATTTCCCGGCTGGTGCGTTGTTCCTTGTCGTTACTTTCCCTCGTTTCTTTTGTAATTGTTTGTAATGATAATTTCGTCAGGAAAACATCGTTACTTACTTTAATTGTATTTCAGATTTTCCATTTACCACGCAAACTATAGTCGCAATATAGGTACATATTGGGTACAGCGAAACGGTTTTCGAAACGTGGAAAACGTTCTTACGCTCGTACGATTCACGGTATAGGCTCCATTTTCCGTACTAACAGGTAGACATACCTGAGAAATCTACAATAAAAGTAAATAGAAAAATACGATAAAGAATCTACGGTGCAAGTTATTTCAAAGAAACTTGTTGTTTAATTATTTTTCTTAAAAAATGCTTTAATATAAGTTAAGTTCACGTTCTATTTTATGACACGTAATTTAAAAGTTCGGAGTTTTAAACATCCACTGCATAGCAATGCATAATTTCAAACATAATGATCTGTGGCTCTGAATGCAACTGCATTCCTTTGTAATAGTATACTAGTTCTTCGGATGTAAAATACTGTGCACATTCACATTTAATGATGTCATCGTTCTTAAATCATCTTCCGTTAAAAAGATGCGCCATTTCTCTGAAAAGGTGATAGTCGGACTAAGCAAAATCTACGCTATAGACAGGATGAACTAATTCTATTTCTTTTACTTTTTGAATCATCGAGTGTCCTATAGAGTGACTAATAAACCTAAAGAATCTATTAAATCAAATTGCAATCACATATTCCAGTTTAGAACGAACCAACGTATTATAAGCAGTTATTAAAGCTAAAGAATTTTAAAAATTGAGGCAATAGTAAAATCTTAATAAACCTGAGCGTCCTGACAGAACTGTTAACGTCTGTAATATGTGGAAATAAAGAAAACTTATTATCGTAGCTCACACTTATATCGAATATACAGTTAACAGACTCTAATAATGTATTAACGAGTATGTTTAAATAAGTCTCACTATATTGCATTTACAAACGTTAAAATGGAGCCTATTATCCACAAATAATGTCATGAGATTCTTGAGATCGGCTCCTACACTCCAAAAATTAATTTAAAATCATAAACATTTAATTTTGAAGGATAGTAAACATACAAAGAAACATGAAATTCCTCTGTAAGTCCGTAATTGTATTTTTCCAAATGTCTTAGACTATTTGTAACGCAGGAGGAATTTGTTCAATTTTGAACATTATTTTGGTATGTACTGATAAGACATTGACATGACCTGTCAATGGTCTGCAAATTTGTGTAAACACGATCTCCAGAAATGTATACAATTTCAAAATAACAAGGGAAAGAAACGAATGCCATCTAACTGAAGGTTATAATTTAATTAGATATTTAAAAGAGTAAAATAAGTAACAAATCATCGCTCGATTGGCGCCTGCGCGATTAGAGTTGCGTGGAGGATCGTATCGTCCGAAAACACCGAGGCAGTCAACAAGTTTCATTTACTCCGAAACAAACAACGCGGAAATATTGGCAAATAACGTAATTCATGCGATTCCGCGATCGACGCAAGGATTACGCACGTCCGTTACGTAACGACCGTATTTTCGTTCGCACGTGGAGCGACTCCGGACTCCGACTACGATTCGCGCTTTCGAAAGGAAAAAGGAGAACGCGCAGCGCAACGAAACGCGACGCGCGAGGCGAACGAGGGTCGTGCAGGTGCGCGAATAAACGCGTAACGCTGCGTGTCGATCCGCGAGAACCGCAAAATGAACCCAACGGACGTACAACCGTGCGTTGGTACGGTAGCCCGGAGCGTCTTGGCTCGTGAACCCCGAGGAATTCGAGGGCGATGTTTTGCAGCACCTGGCAGCGGAGCTGACAGCTGCCGCGGACCGGCGAAACAGAAAAATCGAAACGAATGGGTACCTGTTAGTTCGCAGATTCCCACCTGTTGATTCAGCACCGACGAGCGTTCAGTTCGCGTTGCGGTTGCTAAGCGGGCTTTGCACCACGGAGGACAAGCGTTATCCAGGATGACGACCGGTCGAAGTCCGCACAGGGCACACAGTATCGAAGAGGGAGAGAAACTGGCTGTTGACGTCGCGATGGAAAGAGACCGAACGAGCACATCCACTGTTACCACGCACAGCACGTTAACGCGCCGGCTGAGAACAATCCTGCCCCCGCCGTGGCCACGTGCGAGATTGTCCCACGACAGAGACGAACGGACGGGCACCGAGATCGTGTTCACCGCGTTGACATGGCCGCGGAGGCAGACGACGAACCCTTCAGCGCGCGAACTTAGCGTCCTTCTTAGCGTCTGGTGACACGGCCAGAAAGGACTCCGTCGTCATTCTATCCGTCCCGGGTTTCGAACGAAGCGCGGTCCGCGATCCACTCCGCGCGAGCGCTGACACACGACTGTAGCCGAAGTTCTACGACGGCGTGGCCGAGCCGCGCGGCCGAACGACGCCGAGAGCCAACGACGGGATGCGAGGACGCCCGAGCTCGGTCGAACCTACGAGATGGAATGCGCGCGGCGGAAATCAGGCGGGATCGGAATCGGGATCGAGCTTGGGTTCGCGCTCGGACTCTCGGGATCTCGAGCTCGGACTCTCCGGTTCGAAGGCGATCCAAGGCAAACGACCGCTCTACCCCGCTTCTTTCGTTCCCCCCGTGCCGCCGTGCAACTCCCATCGGCCGCTATAATCTATGTCTATTATCCTCCTCTCTGTGTTTCTTTATTCCTTGTATGCCTCTCTCTTCGTCGCCCCCATAGCCGCCTCTCTTGTTCGCGATGTTGGTTTTCTGGTTTGTTGCGATAGGTACGGGGCGAAATTTTTCGATCGAGACAGGAGGCAATTAAGGGGATGCATTGGGTCATCCGGAAGGTGGCAATTTTTCCGGTAGGTGACACCGTTAATTCAAAGCTTGGATACTGTAATTCGTGTTAATATTCAGACTACGTGGCATTTCGATGTTGCTTCATATTGGTATAATCCTAAATATACACTTAATGAATTAATTTTTGTTTAATAAGTTAAGGAACTTACTCCGGGTGGCACAATTATTTAACTCACATAATTGTCCATGTAATGGTTGATGAAGTAATATCTGATTTCAACGAGTGTTCGAATAAAAATATATTGAGTTTGGAATTTTGAACAAATAATTTTATTTCTTTGTTTAGTTTTTATATTGATGGCGAAAAATGCGATACGTGCATTCCAGACGGGAACAAAAGAAGATTTATGCAGTGCACGGAGATGATGCTGCGAGCGAAAGTACCGTTCGCGAATGATTTTTTCAATTTGAAGCTGGCAATTTCTGTCTCGAAGGCACAACGAGTTCCGACAGAACGTCCGTAGTTGATATGTACCAAATAAAGGTGTTGGTGGAAAATAATCCACATCAGACAACGAGAGAGATCTCAGATACGTTGAAGATCTCGACGAGCATCGTATCAGATCATTTTAAGAAACATGGTTGTGTCAGTCGTTAAAATATCTGGGTGCTGCACGATCTGACGGACAAAAATTCGACGGACCGCATCCGTATCTGCGATTCGTTGCTTGAGCACAGTGAAAACGATACATTTCTTAACTGTATTGTAGCAAACGATAAGAAACGGATACTTTACAAAATGTGGAACGAGAAAAGTCTTGGAGCAAGAGAGATGACGCATAGCCATCAACTGCAAAGATTGATTGTACTTCCAAACAAGATCATGCTTTACATCTGTTAGAATTGGATGGGAATTCTGTATTGTGACCTATATTGTTCGCAATTATAACAACTAAATTGCAGTAATTAAAGAGAAACGATCTGAATTAGCCAATAGAAGAGATATTGTGTTCTGACAGGATAACGCAAGACTGCACGTTTCGCTGCAAACTCAGGAAAAGTAAGTGGAATTAGGTTAGGACATCCTTCTTCGTCCGCTTTGTTACCCAGATTCAGTACCAGAGATTGTAACTGTTATGACCAAAATAAAGATATGTGTTTATATTACACTTTTATTTTAGATGAAATATTGAATGTTATTTTTCTATCCTAAACAATTTTAAATTATAGAAATTGTTATATTAAATACATTACTGTGACTTGGCTTTTATTATTGCAATAAGGAAACCATATAAGCTAAAATATCAAAATGGTCTTGGACCACGAATGTTCAACGCGTTGTCCGCCATTGTCTAGACTGCGGTTGCTGTCCTTTCGAACGCTTTATCCCTGTGGATGACAATTCCCATTAAAACCGTCGATCGGGTCCAGACAAAATTGGCTCGAGCACGAACGTTCGACTCGATTTAATTTCGACGATCGCGCGATCGGAGTTTATTCATCGTTACGATTGCTTTATTATTTTCAAGAGCGTGTTTGTCCGAAGCGTTGTGCGACCGAGTGAAAGCAATTTATTGCCGCGAAGTCTCGAATCGCGCAGTAGGTGTAGTGGATTTGTTAAAAGGGAGACGAGAAAAAAGGACGACGTGGTATTTCTTTACGTGTAGCGTTTGTTTCGCCGGAGCAACCCACGTCGCATTTGCATATCCAGGAATGTGAAATTGAAGATGATAAATAAGAGCAAAACTCGCTTAATGGCGAAACCCGGTACTAAAGCCTCGGCGGGGCGTATAAAAATTCTTGGCGTATCGCGTACGCGAAGCGATACATTTCTTTTTCCGTCAAATCGAATGTTATCGTTAATCACATCAGATTCCCGCGACGAAGATGAAGTGGCTCTCTGACAAATTTACATTAGCGAGCGGCGAAACGCGTCGCCGAGTGGTCCTCTGCTTTGCAATTAGAATGCCCCACCTCTCGAAGCCTAAGCGATATTAAAATTACAGACCAAACGTTTTTAATCCTACTTCCTTTGATAAAAATGTTAATACCTCGATGGTTCGAAGAACAGCCGATTAAACGAGATAGAAAATTTTGACAAAATTTGCCGATGCAGATACCGTTTACACATCGTTGTTTTGTTACACGAGCAATAATATTTTAATCCCCTGTGAACGGATTTTTTTAGTAATGGTTTATCCAGAAATCAACAAAATTTGATTTCCTTCATTCTTCGAGCTGCATCAGATATACGTGCGAAATATTTTTTAAAATATTTTTAAACAGACACATTGCAAAGTTTACCGATAAAGAGCAGCCGTTTATGATATAATAAAGCTGTACATTTTCATCGCTAGGGATCTGACAACGGCATATATCATGTCATTACAGCGATAATAACGTCAAGTCGTCGAATCACGTCTACACTAAGCAGATATCAAACACAAGGCAGAGTTAGACCTTTTTCTAATAAATTTTCCAAGCTAATTCTTTAGCATCCAACATCTAGAGCCCCAATTTGAGACGTAATGGGGACCATCGAGTCAGAATCGTCATCAGATATTAAAAGTCTACGAGAAAAGTCACTGCAGGGAGTAAAAAATTTACGTTAACGAGCCTTGCTTGAAATTAATCTTATAATCGCGCCGTAACGGTCGACTAAAAAATATTTTGTCCCTGACGATGGTACCCGGAGTCGGGCGATGCCCATAAAACGAAACTCGATGATAACGGATTACCGTCACGGCAGATACACACGAAAGTTTATCGTGAACATCGGTGTCCCGCCACAGAGAGAGGTAACACTCTCGATACCATAAAAATCGTCTCGAGGTCTCTCGCCTCTTTCACCCACGCGTGTTCTCGTCCCATAAAATGTGACTAAAACGCCGCATTCCCTTGCATTTATTACATGTTTACGAGTATACTTACATAATGCCGCGCGTGTACCACCGTGGCTTCGTGTAGTTTTACGCGTCGCCTGTGTCGTTTACAAATGTAACACAAAAAAAGAAAAATATTGTCGATACCGCGGTTCCGAACTTTCGAAAATACATATGGATTAAAACCGCGCTCTCGCCCGGTAATGGACTTTTGATATCCGCTGTAAAGTGCTTTAAAAGCGCTTGTTCTCGCCTTTGGTCGACGACATCGGGAAGAAAAGGAAAAAAATACTGATCGAACTCGAACAATGATCGATACCCATTACCTCTTCGTAGAAAGTTTTCGAACGTTCGACCTGCTACTCCCACGCCTTCGACGTTCTCCTTGTTCTCGGCCACTTCGGATGAAACGAGCCTCGTAAGTTCGGTCGCACACGCGCGAGTGCACATTTACCAGCGTTCTGCACGCTGAGACGTTCCATGGCGTCGCCTTTGCTGGCCATCTGCCTCTCGTTGCCGTTTGTCAAGGTCGTCGATTGCGCCGCTGCTGGTTCGAGGTCGATTCAATGATCGGCATCGTTAAACCATTCCTAAATGCTTAACGTCGGATCATCGCCGGTCACGTTCACCCTCGACAGCTGTCCAGCAATGGCGACTCTCGCGCCATAGTTTCGCTCCTGTTAACACGTCGACTGTCGCGCCCATCGAATTCAAACGACACTCGTTATCAGAGATGAGCAAACTTTCATTCAAATAATAGATAAAACATAAAAGCAGCTTACAATATTACTAATGTATTTAATAGAATGACTAAACTTCTGTTTGCTTTTATACGTTGCAACATAATATTAACGAGTCGAACGAATTCATAATATTATTGTTTCGTTGCGAAATTAGTGTGTTCACTCTATTGTTCGTTGCCATAAACGCACGCATGTCACCGCGCGCTTGCATTTAAATCGCTACTCCGTGTATCGATCCACGCATTGTCTGCTCGTCACGATACGAACGACGCACGTGGCTGTCAGTTCCCGGCGGAAGTACGAGGACACCGAAGACATAGTTTTCTCGTTAATCACCATGATTACGCTATTTGTCGCGTGCCGCGATCGACCAGAAAAGGCACCTTTGTGTCCTAGTGACCGAATCGAATCTCTCGACGTCGTATTGCTAAAGAATTCTTCTCCGTCACCATTGTGCAATTGGTTTCGTTGTTGCGTTAATTAGGAACTCGATTCACAAATTCATTGTACCTTCGAGTTTGATATAAACGTTTGTGTACTTTGCAGGAAATAAATAGATGCATTGTTGATATTTGTAATAGTTATAAACGGTTGTATACTTCATTTGTTTTTCTGCCGATACAAATTTGACGAATAAGGTGAAAGTTATTCAGAAGTGATAGTAAATAGGAGAATCAAAATTTTCAATGAGAAATGTATACAAAATAATTAAAAAAGTATACTAAATTTCTGACTATTGATTTTTTTGTAAAATATTTGTGTCGAAAGCAACGGCACTACGCTATTTTAATGCTATTTCAGTCGCATGGAAAAGTTGATTTACGTTCCACACGTGAGGATGCAATTCCA